AAAAAAAAACGTAGAAACATGGGAGAGCATAAATGTGAAGAAAGAGGATCAGGGGCTGTAAAAGAGCTGAGTGGGCAAATAAGGATACAGCAGGGAGAAAAAATAGATATTCAGGAAGATAGAGATGCAGAGAGGTCGACTGAGCAGAGGGAGAAGAATGAAGGAAGAGGCAGTGAAAGAAAGGAAGAAAGGATTGGAGGGAAAGAGAGATGTGGAGATAGGGGGAGGGGCGTTGGCTGGCTGGTCTGCAGGGGCCTGGCTGCCTTCGACAGGGAAGAAAAGATGTTTGAGAGGCAGTGGCTGGCAACCTCTCCCTCTCTCTCCCTTTCTCTCTCCCTCTCTCTCTGTCTTTACCTCTCTCACCCTGTTATTGCTGAAAACTGCAGGGGGATGGGAGTCGCCTCTGCAGGCTGAGTGATGGATGGTTACTACATGGGCGATCGTATGTGTGTGTGTGTGTGTGTGTGTGTGTGTGTGTGTGTGTGTGTGTGTGTGTGTGTGTGTGTAGTGTGGCTGCATCTGGAAGTGGAAGCAATAATGAGGAAAGCGGAGACCAGATGAGACTCTTTATTATTTCAGTCCAGTGAAAAGGAGAAAACACTTCTATAGGTGACGCGGTGCAGCGTCTGGAAATCACTTCCACATCAGACCTTCAAAGGTCATCGAATTTCCCTTCGTCTTCTCATCTCTGAAGCTGCATCTCTGTCGCCTTAGTGGCATCTGTCCTTCAGATCAGAAAATCTGACTTGCATGTTTTAGTTTTTTTGTTTTGGAATCAGCAGATTAATCCCAGATCAAAAGAAACACTATTTCTTTCCATCCTTTCTCTCTTCCTCACTATATTTTCTTTGCCTCAGATTACTGAAAAAAAATGGACGATTGAACCTCATTTTTCTTGACCTTCTTCTGCCCGATGGTGTGGTTTTAGGCACTACACTTCCCAGGGTTCACCTGTGATTCAAAAGGCAACGTTTGTGTATTTTCTGTTTGACAATTTTCCATCTGCTCAGTAATGAGGGTGTTCACTCCTCATCCTAGTCTGAATTCGTCCGAACTTGTTGCTTGAAGACTTAGCAGGCGTTCAGACAGAAAACAGCCCTGAGTTAAACTCGAATGCATGGGGGCTGAGTTGGTGGAGGTTTGTTGTTTCAAGTGCTGGTGAGACGTTTATATTAGACCCTGTAATTAGATCATTGGAGTTTGAAGGACAGAGGTTTATAATGCAGTGAGACAGGATTTATTTTACAACTGTTGGAAGTTATCATGGCAGAAATCATTTCATCTTTTGTTGTGACAATCTTGAGATAAACAGCAGAAATACAGCTTTTCACATTACAGAGTAATCCACCCTAACCCTGCCATTTGGTAAATGTTCAGCCAAGTTCATCTTTTTATTACCAGACAACCCTCTGGTGTTTTGTAGGAGCTCTTTGCGTTGCTCTCATTGAAATGAATGGTGCGGTGGGTTTTATTTTTTTAAGCTAAAGGTCGGACTGAATGTAGCATTAGACCCTCAAAAGAAACAAACATTTAAAGCTCCATATTTTACACTTTTCCTGTGTTTTATTTGAAGTGTGATCCATAAGAAGATATATTTGTGGTTTTAAGAACCAAAAACCATCTCAGTGTAGTTTTACATCTCCTCTCTCAAGCTTCTCTCTGGAATGCCAATCAAAAGAAAGGAGGCTCTGAGCCTCTCTTCTGATTGGCTGACTGTTTTCTAAGTAATTGTATAAAAATATAATAGATTTCAGGTAAACACTCACAGAGAAACCAAATCAAGCAAGGTTGGATGGTGGGTTGAGGTGGGCGAGGCTTTGGGCATGGCTGAGAGCGGTGACTGCTTGTGACATCACAAAGTTATAGAAGTCCTGATGGCTGGTTTTAAGGCTCAGTGTCTGAATGCTGTCTGTGTGCATTTCTCTGTGGACTGAGGCTTTGATACTTTCACAGTATTAATATAGAACCTAGACCTGCTTTATAATCAAAACATACATGGAAAGCTACCTTTATACTATATGGGACCTTTAACAGGAAAATAAAGACAGAAACCTAAAGCAAAGCACTTTGTACAGTCGACAAAAATCCACAAATCATGAAATCCACATAAGGTCTTGTGCACTTTTTGTTACCAGACCAGTTCAGAAGACAACCCTGAATGATATTTAAATAATATAAAGAATGTAATAACTAAAACTAAATAGACAAGATCTCAGGATTGGTACTAAACATGGCAACAGTTCAGGTCTTAAAATGTCCATCTCGTGCCACATTTCATCCCCTCAGGGCTTTTCAACCCTCACTGACATGATACACCAGACTATTTAGTTTGCGAAGTCGGTGAGAGTCCAGTCTTCTTTTTCATCTGGTGATTACAAACCAAACAGAAACATTAAGAACAGATTGAGTTCTTTGTAGCGGATGATTTTCCCAGAATAAAGCTACAAGCCGCTGATCGCTTCAACAGGAAAACCAGATACAGGCTGAGTCACAGTTGCACTGAATCAATGACACTCAGTATTTTTACTTGTCCGATTATTAAAAGCCTGCTTTTTTAGAAAAACACCCTGAATGTCAGTTTCGGTGGAACGCCCCTTCAAATGGAGACCAAAATGTTGTCATTATGAGTCAAGGAGAGGGAATGCGGCCTCTCGCCAGCCATTGTATGAGACCTGGTCCTTTTGATGTAGTTCCCCATATGGCTGTGCAGAAAGGACGCTGATAAAGGCTTCTTTGTCTGCGGTCAGCAGCCAGGGAGAAACCTCGAGATAATTTGGCCTTACAGGATGGGAGTAAACAGAAAGAGAGGGAGAGAGGAGAGAGACGAAGAGGAGGAGAGGATCAGGACATGAGACAAACAGCGAAAGAGAAAGAGAAAGATGGTGGTGAAAACAGAGAGAGAAAAACCTCGAGAGCAGGAGGAAGAAAGGCTGAAAACAATGGAAGGAGAATAGAAAAGCAAAAGGAGTGGAGGAGACAAAGGAACAAACAGAGGGAGAGGAGAGAGGAGAAACAGAGAAAGAGGGAAGACAAGGCGAGAGGAGGTAAAGCGGTGCCTGGTTAAAGGTCAGGTTTAAATTGGCTCTTGGGGAGCTGCTTCCATGGAAATGCTTTGAAGATTAAAGTGGTCTCAGGCTACGGAGCAGAAAGCACAGAAACTGTATTTCACTATTAATGAACCTTGCTAACTGTTCTCTCCTCACTTCTTCATCTCTACTTTGTGTCTCGACATCTTTGTTTCCATGTCATTTATGTCGGTGTATCTCGTTCTTCTCTCATCACACAGGTTTAAACTTTCTAACCTCTATTACAGTCTGTTTCTTTGTTCTCCTCTCTTTTACCTTTATTCTGTTATGCCTCGTGCGATATACAGTATATCTTAACTTCTTGTCCTCCTCTGAGTCGATCACTTCCTTTTCACCTTTTTTTATTCATCTCTCTACCTCTACCCCCGCATGTCTCTTCACAGTCAAGGTATTTCACCTCCTTATCATGCCACACACCTGTGATGGATTTTCTTTTTCATGTCTTTTGCCTCCACACGTACAGTATCTGTCATCCTATCCTTTTGTTTTTTATTTCCTTCCTTCCTTTCTTTTCTTATTCTTTAATTTCTTTGCATTTTTGTCTTTTCGGCTCTTTTTCATTTCTGTCATCTTTTCCTTAGAGGTTCAAAGTTCAACAGTTGAGAAAGCAGTCTCACCACAAGGTCCATTTAGTACCTGTTATGGAGCTTTCAATCAAGATCTCCATCAGCAGTATTGTAGATGTTTAAATTTCTATTTTATCTGAGCACTTTCACCAACATAGACAAGGAGCCCTCAATGTGCACTTTTATTACATGGTCTCTGTGCGTTGATGAAGATCATGAGCTATGATTAAAGCTCCAGAACAGCCAAAAAATGGACCTTGTGTTGGATTGTTTTCTCAAAACTGGTTCTTTTCTTTTATTCCAACCAGTTAACAGAAAATATAATCAAAAGGATCGTTCAACAATTGATAAACTGTCACTCATTTTGCTATCAGTGTCTGACCATATTTACATATAGTGCTGTGACGAGTCACTTGACAAAAATATAAATAGATTTTGATTTTTTAATTGTTTAAGTCCATTTTCAGGAAAAAAAATGGGAAAAAGTTTCTCGTTCCAGCTTTTCAAATTTGAGAATTAGCAGCTTTTCTCCTTCTTTTATCATTACATCCACGAAGGACGTTATGTTTTCACCTGTGTCTGTTTGTTTGTTTGTTTGTCAGCAGGATGCAAAAAATACTGATTTGGTTTGCACCAAACCTGATGGAGGGATGGGGAAGAACACGTTAAATTTAGGTGCAGATCCGGTTAAGTGGACGGATCCTGGAATTTTCTATCATTTTCTTAAACATTGCGAGACACTTTCTTCAGTTTCTCAGGAAGCAAAGTTTGGATCTAATAATAACCTGGATCTAACAGACGTGTGTAGTATTGTTTGGCCTTGGTGGAGGTATGCGCTTTACTGAGTGCCACTCTAATTTACTATGAATTAGAGTTTTTCTCTCTGAAGTCTGGTCTATGTTGTTTAACAATGGCCTTGACGGAGGTCTGCATTCTCTGAGTACTATTCTAGTTATAACTTGAATGTCTTTGACCTGGATTTGGAAATAAAAAGCATTTCAAGACACTATTTTGGACTCTCGGAAACTGTGACAGGCATTTTACATTATTTTATACATTTAATAGATGTGAAACCAAGTCTTCTGTATTGCATACCTGGTAGACCTGGTAGGATAATCAGATCACGAGCAGCAAACACAGAGTTTATTAGAGACATAAGATTTGTCATGAACTACTGTAATCAGCAAATTGACAGAATGATTGACAGAATGATTGTTTGTGAGCACTCAACCTTTTCTTTAACAAGTGATTGAAAAAACAATTGACATATTAATCAATAAATAAAATAAACATTACTTGCAGCCATATTTACATCTTGTACAATTCTGGTTTTCTTCTGCTGAATCAGAGAAAGAGCTCGATGAGTACTCCAGCTACCACAACTCCAAACGTCGCTCCAACAACGCTCCACCATCCTTCCACTCGTCACAGCACCACCTTCCCTGGGGGGGCGACTACACGCTGGGCTCCAGGGGCACGCTGCCCCTCAACGGCTCCCGGCCTCGTCTCCACATCCCTGCCTCCACCCCGAACCCATACCCGCTGCCTGCCCAGACGCCGTACACCAGCTCATCCTTCGACAGACCGCCGCGCCGCGTCCGCTCCCAGGATCAGCTGCTGGCACTCGGGGAGGGCAACACGCTGTCCCGCCTGTCCAAGAACCAGCAACACCAGTACTACAAAGCCATGATGAGCACCAGCAGGAGCTCCACCTCGCAGACGCTCCGCAGGTAAGACAAGAGGGGACAGAGGGCAGCAGAGGTGAGAGGAGGATTGTGATGAGAGGAAGAGCAGATGAGACGAGCAGATGAAACACAAAAGAGAAAGGAGCGAGATCAGAGAAGGTGAAAGATGAGAGGAAAGCAAAAGAGATGATAATGATGTCAGGTGACATGAGAAGATGGAGGAGAGATGAGAAAAATAAGAGCAAAGGGAATCAGAGAATATGATAAATGAATGTCAAGAGCAGAGCAGTTTCATTGAAATTTAAAGAGTCTGATGAGGTGAGGGTACACTCTGTTAAATTTTTATAACACAAAAATTCTGTTCAGTCAAATTTCAAACCTTGTACCTCATTTCACTTCTTTTAAAAAGTGAGTCCAACAAGTTAAACAAGCTCCACAGTTTCTTCTTTCTTGACTTGGGAATCAAATGTGGCTTAGGTGAGACTGAAGTTCATTTTATGTTTGATAACTCGTTATGTGTTGATTTAAAGGTCCCATATTTTACACTTTTCATTTTACACTGTGTTTTATTTGAAATGTTGATCCATATTAAGATATATTTGTGGTTTTAAGAGCCAAAAACCATCTCAATGTAGTTTTACATCTCCTCTCTCTCTGGAGCTCTGGTAACAACAGGTCATTGGCCAATCAGAAGAGAGGAGGCTCTGAATCTCTCTTCAGATTTAAAAATATAGCAAATTTCAGGTAAACACCAAATCCTGCAAGGTTGGATGGTGGGTCCAGGTGGGCGGGGCTTGGGGCATGCCTGAAAGAGGAGACTGCTTTGTTGTGACACCACGAAGTTGCAGAAGTCCTGACATCTTGTTTTAAGGCTCAGTTTCTGAATACAGGCTGTGTGCATTTCTCTGCGGACTGAGTGTTTGATAATTTCACAGTATTAATATAGAAACTAGACCTGCTTTATAATCAAACAACACATGGAAATCAATATGGGACAATATGGTTTACAAAAATGTTCTTAATTTCTGATTGATTCTGCTGGATGACTGATTATAAGAAACGTGTGCTGTGGTTTAGGGAGGGAAAATTTCGTGTGGCTGATTTTATTTGTAGAGAATTGGGACATAAGACTTGTTTGCAATGTGTTATTCTAGTAATGTTCATGTTCAGTAAATGTCTCACCATGCAACAGTCATTTTTTAGTGTCTAATTAGCCCATGATAAACAAGTGTGTGGTTTCAGGTCCCACGAGAGGCTCCTGGTCTCACCTGACCGCCTGGAGGACCGGCTAATGGCGATGGGGCTGATGATGGGAGGAGGTGACAGAGGCGGAGGAAGCGGGATGGTGCCCACCATGGGCCGACTCAGCCACCACCAGAAGGCCCAGTCACAACAGAACATCTGCGTCACACCATCCATGGACCGCCACCACATGATCAAGATGAACTCCCACCCGACATCAGGCCACGACCACGACCGCAGCTCCGCCGCCATGCCCGGCATGGGCATGCACAGCGGCTGGGACCCACATGGGGGCCATGGCGGAGGCGGAGCGGGGACGGCCGGAGGCCACCCCAACGCCCGACGGATGGCGTTCGCCAGCAAGAGGCAGAACACCATCGAACAGCTGCACTTCATCCCCGGAGGAGGAGGAGGGCAGGGACTGCGGACTGGGAGTAAGAACGAGGTGACAGTGTGAGGGAAGGTGGGAGAGAGGAAGAGAAAGAGTGAGGGAAGAGAGGTGAGGACTGAAGTTGTAAAGACGCTGAATACAGGATGAAGGACGGAAAGCAGGGAGGCGTTTAGTGGGAGGATGAAGTGGAGATGAGCAGAGAGAGGCGAGGTTTGATCTCAGCTGGTCACCTCACAGGGCTGCACTCTGTCCTGAGGACGAGCAGCAAACAGCCCCCCCTCCCCTTCATAAAACAAAAAATGGTGGATGACAACATTATCTCATAGTGAGTAGAGCCAATTGATTTTCTCCTTATCACTTTGTCGAAGAAGAGAATGTTCAGTCATTCTTTGTAAAGGGAAGACAGAAACGTCCGCTTGAAAAGAGCAAAAAATATGGTACGAGTGCAGTTTGAAGGCTGCTGGTATTCGCTGTGACTTTTATTGAAGGATACCTGCTGAGTCGAATTCATTGACTTGTCCTTGAGTTTTATTGCACTGTCCTCTGAGTCCTCGAGTGCTCTGACAGAGATCCACCTGTCTTTGAATCCACTGTGGATGACAGAGAGCGCCGAGGCAGAGACAGACGGGTTTGCTTGTCTTTGTATTTATACAAGTATTTAAAACCAAACAAGTTTCTTTTGTATGAAATTAACCTGATAATAATATTAATAATAGTATTAACATTACTGAGCCCTGTAGGACTTTGTGTATACTTGAACGTATTTATCCTTAAGCCAGACGGTTTGTAATTTACAGGCTGGATATGATTGGACTATCATGAAAGTGAAACTGCTAAAATAATCCAGCCGAGTACAGTTATCTGTCACTTGATTGCTTTATGGCTTGATTCACTCTAGTTTCAAATAAAACAAACGCCATTTTTGGAGAAAAACTGTACTTGCGTCAATGCAAACTGCTGCCATACAGGCCCCGTCACACCAGCATTTAAACGGTTAAACTTTTGCGGCAAAATGAATTCATTTCAGTAAGATCACTAGGTTTGGCTTCAGGGGTGAAATAAGTATAAATTATTTTACTTTCAAGTTTAACTTTGTTGAACTGTGAAGTGAATTTGACAAATAACAAACTGTCTCTCCCTGCTGAGTGGATGGAGAGCCAGAGAGTCTGAAATGGAGTAAGCACCCCTCACTTTTATTTTACCTCGTCTGTTGGAGCGTAAACATCTCCACAAAACAGACATAGTTTTTTAGATACTTATAAGACAGAAGTTTACGATACAAATACGTCTTCTGAACTAGTAGAATTTGTGAAATTGTCGCGACTGAGCTAAGAAGCTAACTGCTAACTGTCAGTTTGAAATCCTGTTAGCTTGTTAAGCTGTCTTTTTCCTCTGCAGTAAATCTTGATGTATAATACTAAACTAATACTAAACAGAGGTTGTAACTGACTAATGCTGTGACCCAGCTGGTGAACATTTTAGTGGTTAGCTCACCAGCTACAGCTACAGTAGTTCAACAACTAACACCAAGCTTTTTAAATCCAAATATTCTTTCTTCCTGGTGTGACCGGGCCTTAAAATCCACTAACATCCACACTGCAGTCTGATTCTAGCTAACTTTAAGCCTTTGTACAGTGAACTCTAGTGGGTGTTTATCATCTATGAAACATTGTGCTGTGACCCTTTGCGTAATAATTAGTCAATTTTTTTGAAATTAGAAGATTCAACCTTGCTCAGACATTTTGATATGGCCCCCGGCAAAGCAAACATCCCTCAAACACTGTTTTAAACTTTTCATCGTGAGTTCGTAGAGAGTCGTCGGTTACTACTTTCCGCGACTGATTTGCTACCAAGCAAATGCTCCCGTACGTCGACAACGCCACATGTTACCTGCGAGTTCAGCTGCTCACCTCATATGAAGGGAGGGGGTGGGGGGTAGACGGGGTTCAAGGCCGGGGACAATGGACACTTCACACCAAGGGCTATACCGAATTATCTTTGTGTGTCTGTGCTCTGTACAGCGTTTGCTTCACATTTTCATTACTTCTGCGTGTCAGTGTCAGGAGGCATGCTTGTGCACATGTTCACCAACTTTTTTTTTTCCTTAAGTAGAGAGAAAATATAAACATGCAAGGAAATTCAAAGCAAATGAACTTTTGTGGAACATGTAAAAACACACCTGATAGCATTGTCGCGGGAGAAGTGGTGGCCATAATGATGTCATATTTTGTACATTTTTTTAGTTTTTCTGGCTGTGAGATGGACCTTCTAGCCGTTTAGGCTGGATTTACCCTCTATGGGGTTTAAGGGAGTCGTGAGGCCTCCTTCGAGGTTTTCAACTTCCCCTCTGAGTTGTATTTTGACAAAGACAGACATGATTGGTGCCAGCCATTTTAGTCTTTTAATATGATACATGTTGCTCATGTGTTAATGGTTTATGATCATTATGTGTAAGGATTCCCCCTCGATCAGACGATGAACGCTCTTATCATGATCGTTATTTTTATTTATTTACTTATTTTTTGTCTAAACATGTATTTATTTTTTTAATCTCTGTGAATTTTAATGTATAATCCTGGATTTTCAATATTCAAACTTTATAGTGGAATTTAAAAAAAAAAAACTAAAAAAAGAAAAACATTTGTATTCTCGACAACAAAAAGAGATGATGCAATCAAAGAGAAAAGACGAACCGCATGACGATGTCAGAAGCCAGTGTCGATGATGTCATAGTGCTGACTTATGATGTCATGGTGTGTATGTGTGTAAATGTACATTCGTCTGTTTTAATTTGTGTGCCCGTGTGCGTAACTCTCTCAGTGTCTTCTTCTTCTTAGGAATGCTGAACCTCATTTTTTTTTTTTTTAACCAAACTCGGGTTTAGTCTTCGGCCCCACGAAGACGATTTTCACGACCTCGAGTCTCGTTACGTGTTCATATCAACTTGTAATGAAATTTTAAAGGCCTGTCGTCGTTTAATTAAAAAAAAAAAGGGGGAACATTGATCAATCACAGCTTTTCTTGTTGAGCTACGTTCACCAAAGCGAGGACTTTTTCAAATGTTTGAAAATGTAAATTACTGAAGGCTTATATTGTGTCAAGTTTTGGTATTTGAATAGAAGCGGAACAGCTGAGCGTGTTGATTAACACTCGGCTGATGAGCTTGTGTCGCTGCTGTTTGACTTAAATATGTATCCGCAAAAAGTGATCTGTTTTTTTCTAAGCAACTTTCTCATCCGTGCTTTAAAAACTTTCAAGGTACAACAGTGACTCGACGTACAGTGTTAACAGCTTTTTAAAGTTGCGATACATGTGAAGGGGAAAAACAAATTTGCGTTCAAGTGTTTTTTTTAGCGACAGCAGTTGTTGCTTCAGCGGCTTGTGGAGGAGAATGTATTGTGACTGACAGGACTAGAAAAGAAGGTTTTTACAATGAAAACGTGTCAATAACTTTTAAAACAGAAAGAGGCAAAAAAAAAAAAACACAGGAGGGGAAATATAAACGACAAATGAACATTCAGTTGTATTTTTAATGTCTCTCTCATTTCTTCTCATACCTTCAAAGGTCTGATACAGATGTTGTAATCCATGTTCGGTTAATTGCTCCCCCTGATAAAACTGTGTGCCTGTATGTTTGAGGCTGTGTGTATACGAGTGTGCGTGTATGTGTGTGTGCGTGTTACCCACCTGGGGGGAGGCATGGGCATATTTGTATTCTCAAAGCTACTCTGCATACCTCAAATTGTATGATACATTTATTTATTACATCCCCTTCTATGTCTATTTCCAAGAATATTCAAACAAAGGTCTCACAGATGTGCAACCCTTTTGTTATTGGTGATCAATTCTTGCGTTTGTAGAAATCATACTGTTTAATTGATAATAACAATAAAAAAAAATCCCACTACACCTTGTTTGTTTGTCTTGTGTCATTAAACTTGATTCTTTCTGTTTGACTTTTTCAATTACAGGCTGATATTCACAGTTAGTGCTGAAACAATGAGTTGATCAATTGATTAGTCCACTGACAAAATTACACTACATTATACAAATATTCATCAGTCTTGTTAAACAATGAACAGTTTGAGTTTATGAAGCAAAAATGTCAAACCTTTGCTAGTTTACAGCTTCTCAAATGTGATGATTTCTAGTAGAAGATGACATGCAGCATAGGGCCAGCCGGTTACGACTAAACCTTAATGGTAAGCACACTTGATCATATGATAGCTATACTCTCTGTATATCATATACTGAACATAGGACATAAAATCTGCAATGTATTAATACTAGTACTGACATGGAGCCTGGGCTCTGGTTCTCATAACACAATGATGCTTTTTCTGAGAAACAGAAATATGTTTTTCTACAAAATCCTCATGTTGATTTTACAAAAGAAGCCAAAGTTTCCAAATGTTCAAAGAAAAGCATCAACAATTTGAATGAAATAGACTAAAATTGGCAACATTTATAATAAAATCAGGAACTATCTGATCACAAAATAAGTAAACAAGACTTAGAATCTGAGCACATTTGATGTCACTACTCAAAACACTTGTAGACACACTTATAGACAAAGTATTGAGGTTTTATAATCCAGCCCTAAATACGCAGCAGATCTCTCTGTTTTGAATAAGGTCTTGATCTACAGTATGAGTGGGAGAAATGTGTTCAATGCACTGTTGTGTTTCTGTAATCAGTCCCACCTCCCTGTGTTTCCACACCCAAGGGAGCAATTTGAGGCTTCACACAGGGGAACATCAACTCTCCATCCCATCCCACCCACTACTTTAGCACAAATTATTAAATTCATTACAGTCATTAAACTAAGAAAATTAGGAAATTACAGGAGGGGATAAAGACACGGCAGAGCGGCTGAGCCAGGCTGAGATTCTCTGCTGTCTACTCACCAGCTCAGTGAGCTTCATGAATATATGGAGAACTTTAAACTGGACTAAGATTTCTTTTTCTTTTCTGACTGTTTTTTCATAAAACTGTTTATTAACTATTAACTGTTTGTCTGTTTGTTTGTTTTGGTGTGACAGCAGCACACTCCAGCAAAGCTCTCA